CCAGGGCTGGTTGCATTAAAACCCACACGTGCTGGAGGGAGTTCTAAACTCCTGCATTGTGAGAATGAGTCAGAGAAGACGCACATCTGCCTCCTTATGCAAACCTCTCCCTTAATGAGCCTCGGAGACGACAGCGGTGGGTAACGCTCACACTGATGTAATTGCGTTTACGTCTTGATAAAACGCTGCCTAATAAAGACGGTTGTGTGCAGCAGCAGCAGCAGCAGCAGCAGCAGCAGGAGGCCTCCTGCGAATCTGCTGAGCGAATCGGCGGCGTGTTGCAGGAGGGGAATAATTGGCCGGGGGAGACGGGGAGATCCGATGCAAGTATATTCTGTCCCGACTGCTTGTGCTGCACATACTAATTGGGCGCCTCTCCTTGGCTTGAAGGTAATGAAACTGCCGTTATCATAACAGCCGGAGCAAAGTTCATTATTTATATCCAAATGCAGCCGAGTGTGAGAGCCGGCTGAGGGAGCTTTTTTTTGTTTTGTTTATTTCATTTTTTGGTGCTGCGGCTCCGATCTTTCCGTCTCTCTCTGTGGACGTACGCCACCACGGCCTTTCTGCATGACTCCATCTCCTGCTCTGTTTTCTGTGCTGAGACTCGTCCTGGCGGTGGCTCACACTCACCCATTTCTTGAAAGAAGTATCCATTCTTGGACATCCCAGAGGGAGGCGCCTCTGCAAGAGCAAAACACAGAAAGACAGTAATCAGTGAGGTGGATCTGTGCAACAGAACCCGGCCTGGCAGGGAGCAATTATTTGGTATTTTTACACCGCGAGCCGCTGGAGTGAGAGACGGTTATAAATACAAACATGCACCATTATTACAGCTTTTTCTTTCGCTGAAAGCTGCCGTGTGAGCAGAAAACACCTGAGCATGTACACACAGTCAATTACTGTTCATTCATTCACCTCCTGGTGAAGGCATCTGCCCCCTAATGGTGACCAGGACACACAACAACCACTGTTAATTGCACATCAAGTGCACAGGAGCTGCTCATGGCCGTGACAGTTTGTGTCTTCATTAAGTATCTGAAACACAAGCAGGTTTGGGTGTTTTTTT